CCCGGCTCAAATGCCTACACATTCTGTATTAAACACTTTTTATTTCTAAACGAAAAGGTAGGAACATGGCGACTGTGCGAAGCTTAGATGTTATGTATGGCAAATAGACAATGGCAAGAAGAAGGAAAATAAATAATAGTACTGTTACTGCTATGGCTCAGTTAGTGGGATGCGGGGCTCGGGAACTGGCAAGGACGGGGAGCTGACCACATGCCTCCATCTAATGTCAAGGTTAAAAATGCGTGGAACCGTACTTCTGCTACCAATACGTCTTTATGACGTGGTGCTTAATTCAGTATAAGAAAACGATTGCTTTGCTTTGCTTTGCTTTTCTTTCCTGTTACTCAATACGCTACATCTGTAAATTTGAGGTTACATCCGACCTTCGGAACCAAAAACATATTCGTCCAGCAGCTGTTAGCGAGGACCTCGTGCAAAAAGACTNCTCCATGTGGTTTTTTTCCTTCTAGTTTTCTGAGCAAAACTTTATAAGACAAAACATTACTGGGTTTTTGGACTTTTTTCATCGTCCGGTCTTCAAGAAAACAGAAAACACGACTTTTCGGAAACTGGATCTGTTTCCGTCCTCAGGTGAGGGTGCGAAGACACCTACTCAGTTGGGTCCCTTAAAAAGAGCTAATCTCAAACACTAGAAAACTTCTGTCAGATTTACACAGCTATTTAATCGCCTGAGATCAAGCATGCGTGCTATATCTCATCTTCCTGGACCTGCCTTAATAATTACATAACCAGTAGCTTGTTAATTTCTACGGCTCTCTCAGTAATATTAGGATTGTAATATAGAGAAATTTCTTTGTGATGGACCAAGAGCGGAGTTGAGCTCTGAGCACAGAATTAAGTAGGGATGCATTTTGAAAGGCTAGGAAGACAGGTCTGACGAAAGGGTAACAATTCACGCTGCCTCAAGAGGAGTGTTTTATAAAGATGTGAAATGGACTGAATTGTTTCAAGAACTACAGAAATTTGGGGCCATTTTCACTTCATTAGCAGAGTTTTGCTTATACAGCTAGGAGTGTAGATTGTCCTATAAAATGTGAAATAGATTGAACTGGCTCAGGATCCACTACAATTTCGGAGCCGTGTATCATTTCAATGACCGCGTCTATGGTCTAGTGGTCAGAGTTCCTGGCTACAGATCCTGAGGTCTCGGGTTTAATTCCCGGAGCTACGAGATTTTCTGAGAAGTAGTGGGTCTGGAACGGGGTCCATTCAGCCTCATGAGGATAAATGAGGAGTTATTTCAAGGAAATAGCGGCTCCGGTCTAGAAAATCGAGATTAATGGCCGTGGGGATCCGTTGCGCTGACCACGTCACACCCTCTATCCGCAAAAGTTTGCACTAACTTCACCGAGAAACGGTTGTCTCTGGGTCGGTATAGTTCGCTTGCGGACTACAGGCCACGGAGATTGTTTTTTGTTTGTTTGTGTATCATTTCAGTAACTTCCTTTTTGGATATGTAGTTAGGTATTAAGTCACCCTATAAGATCCGAAGTGGATTTATCTGGCTCAGTATCCAGTTAGACGTACGTAACACTCTGAACAAATCCATTGTGAGTCTAGTTCTCGAAGGACTAGCACATGTCTTCATGGAGACCCTCTTTTCTCTGCATCTCTCGAAGTGTAGCATGTAACATTCGCTTCATTTTGCTGCTCTTTCCTTCACAGCCAGCCGTATCCGTTTTCTCACTTGTTATTTCACGCAAAATCTTCGTGGTCCGATGTCTTTTCTCTTCTTTAGTGAGCTTCTCAATTCTGCATGTTAGTCGTATTAATGTACAAGTGTCACAAACTAAATTCTTGGCCTGGAATCAAATTAAAAAAGTGATCCGTCTATATATTTTCACGCTGTGGAACCAAATGTCCGGTAGATCCTACTGACAAAGGCTTGAATGGATGAACGTTATGGGTGTTGACAGATGGAAGTTAATTTGCAACATAGTCATGTATGCTATTTCATTTTTTCCTTATAGCACATTTCATTGCTTCATGTTTTAAGGTTCGGCCACACAGAGCGCTACGTACGCTACGTACGCTATGTTCCCTATGTTAGCTGCGTCGCAGAGAGTACACAGCGTACGTAGCGTACGTAGCGAATATAGCGTAGCGCTTGTGTGGTCGAACCTTAAGAACCACAACGTGGCACAAGGTTTACGTCGGTCTTCCCTGCATTGCCTTTTATGTGGGAGTACCCTCGTCTAGGTTAAACGAAAGCAAGTTAAATGTTTGTTATGGAGACCGTGGTGTGAAGCTTTGTATGGTTGCGTGGCCTAGCTCACTAGTGTGGTGTAATTAGGTAATTAAACGAACAGTACCAAACTAGGCTCAGCCCTGGCATGGAGTCCATATTGTTTCTTCTTTATACACACACACAAGCAGGGATCAGCAAATGATGGCTCAGTTAACAAGTCAGACAAATTCTACAAAGTGTTCAGTGGGATATTAGCTCTGAAATGCGCGAAATTAATAGGCCTAATTATAAAAGTGCCAATATTATTGAAAAGGAACTCTGCACACTAAGTTAACTTGGCCAGAGCGTTTCAGACATTGAGCTCCGCTGCCTTATTGCACTAACAACACATTTATTCAGAATGGATACTATGCATGCCAAACCTGCTGTAATTGTCCCTCACCGGCCAAATTCCCATCGCGTGCAATCATTATACAGAATGCTGCACACTATATCTGCAAGATAGGGCTAACCTTTTGATATCCGTAGATAAATAAGAAAAGGAGCATGAGAGTCTATTTAACTAATACGTGTAAATTAAAATATTTCCCACTTGCAAGTCTTGATTTCTCACTCGTCTCAGACGAAAAGACAAGTGATTTTGTTCTGCCTTGTGTGTGTGTGTGTGTGTGTATACACGGATCCTCTAGTTCATGGGTTGGACGCTAGGTTGATGATCTTGCTCTGTAAACAAAATACTGCTGTGGGTTCCAAAGAAGTGGAAACCGGATGAACTCTGGTAAAATCATCCGAAGAAGGTTGTGACCCAAAAAGTATCGTTTTCCCAACAGCAACGACAAGATTAATGCCGCCTCTGTAGTGCGACAGATCACGAGAGAGCTCAATGAAGCTAAACAAAAACTAAAAATTGAAATCCGTGGCGTCGGTAGGACACCTTGGACGGGACATCAGGCCGACGCAAGGCCGCTAGAATAAGAAAAACACAGAATAATTGCACACAGACATGCATTCCTTGAGTGGGATTCGAACCCACAATCCCAGTGTTGGAGCGAGCGAAGACAGTTCATGTCTTAGACCGCGCGGTCACTGTGATCAGCAACTAGCAGGACTGCTAATGACATATCAGGAAGCATTTAGAAGCAATGTATGTGGTACCTTGCACAGTGCGACGCCGGTGTCCAGACGGTCCATGAAGTTGTCCACATTGATGTCCAGCTCAGGGTACAACATGTTCAACCATTCGGCCAAATCCTCCTTCATCGCGTACAAGTACTCCTCGCTCGACTTGAAGGGACGGAAGGACCGCGTCTCCTTCATCACAGGTGTCACCTCCATCACGACGACAGCTGAAACATGACGAAATATATACCTGTCTCACCTGCAAACTATGTTTTCAGCGGTTCGAATTCTTGATCAAGCTATCGAATGCAATAGTTTGTCCACCGTTATCAGAAAACTACAAGTTGATGCAGGGACTATCCTAGGGGCTGGACGACCGGGTTTTATTAAAGACACAGACACAGACCCCGGAGTCTGAGAGTTCATGTCTCGCGCCGTGACTATGAAGACAGCAATCTTCAGAGAATTTCACTTCGCTATCGCGTCCAGACCGGCTGGCGTCAGTACCCACCCAGCCTCCGATCCAGGGCGCATCAGACAGAATTTTTCCGGCATAAAGAGAGGCAACGTGAAGCATATAATTCACCTACATATAATAAATAAGTTTCGTGGAGCTATACTTCCACTCCTCCATCTTCATAGTCCGTGCTCAATAAGCACAGGGACAATTTTGCTTTTTCAATTACACGGTTAATTTCGCGCCTAATGACATGGGATTAGGAGTGTGTAAGGTCGACATGAATGTTTCGATTTTAAAGCGGTAATCTGACATTTCCAAAGAGTAACTGTGGAAAACTGTAAAAAAAGAAAAATCTGACAGTTGTTGGGAGACTCCTCCTGGCTGCTCTGGGTTACGAGTAAGATGCAATCGCTGACTTGTCTGCAATATTCAGAAACAAAACTGATTTTTAAAAGGAACGTCGTACTTTGTTTGTGTTAGATTCTGTAAAATCTACGACAATTATGAATACTCCGTAGACGCACAAACGTTCGCAGCCAATGAACAGATTCCAACAAATGAACTTTTCGGAGCGCGCATGCGCACTTCAGTTGTTGCATTACATTTCTGAAAATCTTGCTATGTAAATTATTGCGTATGTATATCTACTGAATTACTCTGATCCATATAAACGCCCTTATAAAAATTCTGTACTGGAAGAATAGGAGCCGAGATAGCGTTGTCGGTGTAGCGACTGACTACGGGCTGGACGACCGAGGGGTCGGAGTTCGAGTCCCGGTGGGGTAACAAATGTTCTCCACGTCGTCCAGACCGGTTCTGGGTTCCACTCAGCCTTCTATCCAATGGGTACCAGGGGGCTCTTTCCCCGGGCGTAAAGTGACAGAGGCGTGAAACTGACCACTCACCTCCAGCTAGCGCCGAGGTCAAGAAAATATGGATCTATACATCCACTCCCCCATACTTTACTGGAAGAATATTTTTATCTTCTTGATCGAGTATCTTACGTATATTCAAACGAGATATTATGGGTTGGATTTAGATTTGTTCGCTGTTGGTTTGCGGCTAAAGAACAAATTTTTGGTAGTGGCAATTTCATAATTGTTTAAGAATCCCCATACGTTTTTACAAAGGTTCATATATCCATTAGCATTTGCATAATACAATAATACATGAATCTTATAAATTCTCCCTTTGGTTTTCCAATGAACTGTTTTCATTCCAATCCAGAAAGCACTGTATTGGACCTAAACGTGTGTGCAACATAATTCGCCAGCTTAGGGCGACAAAGTTGTCTGACAGATGTGGATCAAATTTAGGTCCTTCCGGTAACTATTTTACCGTGACGTCTGGATTAAAATGTGTCGTTGCGGACACCAGTTACAAAATTGCCTACTGTTACTGCCTGGTAACTTTAGCCGCGCGGAAAGGCAAACGCTGTTGTGGGGCACGCGAAGCTATACCCTTGCTGTGGGGCCGTTCAGAGCTACTCCCCGAGCGGAAAACATTGTCTCGGAGACCAGGAGTAGATATCGCGGAATCGATACAGTGCGGCCTTCCCACTTCAACTGACACCTCTGGCCGATTCAGGCAACATGGGACGTTTGCTCCTCTGATTCGACAGGACACGGGTGACGAAGAGAAAGCTCTCTTGGCAGCCTGCAGAGCAACAATAACGTTTTCTCTTAAGATGAAGGCAAGGAAATCGTCTCAGAATTCATCAACAATTTTACATTGGTGATATTTCAATGATTTGAACCACTTTTGCGTAAAGGATCCGGGATAGCTCAGTCGGTATTGCTATGGGGTAGACAGCCTGGGGCAAGAAATGTTCTTCTACTTCACAGTGCCCAGACTAACACTCAGACCCATCGAGCCTCCTGTCCAATGTCTACCGAGGGCTCTTTTCAAGCGACAGGAGCGTGAAGCCCACCACTCACCTCCATCCTAGTGCCGAGGTTTAAAACTGAGTGTCTCTATACCTCCACTCTCCCAAACGTCTTCATTATTTTTTGTTTAGTTAAGTAAACACACAGACAACTCTGTCTTTTTGTTTATGTACCTGACTAAATACAAATATTAGGCCGCGCCAGAGCTCAAGAGGTTAGTCGCTGGCTTCCCACCGCGGCGGCCCGGGTTCGATCCCGGGGTCTGGTCAAGTGGGATTTGTGGTGGACAAAGTGGCGCTGGGGCAGGTTTTCTCCGAGTACTTCGTTTTCCCCTGCCAATCTTCATTCCACCAACTGCTCCACAATCACCCTCACCTATCATCTGGGACTGGTACAATAGGCCAGAAGTGGCCGCAGTACAAGGGACTAAGTCCCACCCCACTAGCATTAAGAAAATACAAGTATTCACCGCGCAATTTGGCTGAAAGGGTACGGCTTCTTACTTGTATTCTGGAGGCGCTCCGTTTGGATCTTGGCCAGGTCACTGACTAACCGTCTGAGATTATTCGTTGTTTTCCCCAGTCTCTATATTCCTGGATAGACCTCAAATTAGGCAAGGCCTTCTGCTTTCACTTCTTTAATTTATTACTCGTCATTATACTACGATCCAGCGCTATACGGTAATTAAATAAAGCTCGACCACTGGGATCGTGGGCTCGAATTCCATTCGAGGCATGGATGCCTGTGTGAATTTCTTCTGTGTTTGCGTTATTTTGTGTATAGGTAGCGGCCTTGAGACGAGCTGATCCCCCGTCCAAGGAGTACTACCGACTGTTCATAGTATTAGAAACTGAAAAAGCGGCCAGGGTCCAAAGGGCTGTAGAGCCATAGAGAAAGAAAGAAAGAAAGAAAGAAAGATAGATAGATAGATAGATAGATAGATAGATAGATAGATAGATAGATAGATAGATAGATAGATAGATAGAAAAAGAAAACGCGAGTCAGTGTTTCCACAGTCACTCTAGATTCTAAGCACATTCTTTATTAGTCAATTCAGTCACAGTTAACGGGCAATTGATAAGATCTGAAAGTTTATGACGATGATGTGTTGATACAATTACTGACTTTCTGGATATTATCCATGCCCTGTTTTTATTTAAAACTACACTTCGTTGAATGACTCTGTCCTGACATAAAAAGCTATTCAGTTGAACTCAATCGATAGGTCTATTAATTAATTCCGGACTGAGTAGGTTTTTTTTTACCCGAGGACGAAGGCAGAATCCTGTCTCAGAAAGGTCATTTTAAATAGAAACATGACGTTGGATAATATCCAAAAAATCAATATCTGGCACAATTGATCTTTCTGAGTTCGTGCTGTTTATAAGGCAAGGCAGCTCTCCTACTGAGCAGTTAGATCTGCAGGCCCAGTACCGCTGTGTTCACGCCCTACCGGAAGGTTCAGCCATGGAGGATGGAGGGAGGATATGTTGTCAGCTAACCAGGACAGGATGTGGCGCTTTGTGATAACAAATGGGGGCTTCCGTTGTCGCATCCCTTCTAGACAAATTTCTCGAATTAGCTCTGCCGGCTTGCGGCGTGTGTGTGAGAAGAGGCAACAGATGTTGAGAGATCCATCGGCCAGACAAACGTCCTTGTGTATACGTAATGAAAGGTTTTGTGAAGGCCGAGTTGGTTGGACCTTGCAAATCAACACCTGTAGTCCAAGTTATTCTTGTTTACAGCTGTGCCAAGTCCTATTATAGAGAAGGTCGGGTCATGACAGATCATCAATTAATTTCATCAAGGCGGACTCTTGTTTCCAGCAATCAATTCTGCAGTGGTATCGCTTGATGAACCAACCGGCCAATGAAGTCTCAGGTGCGCATTTGTATATCATACATCCGATGCTAGATTTACACCTCTGACGAGACTACGTTAGGATGCTAATGAGCTGTTGCTAGGAACACATTTAGGTGGGAAGGGGAATGTTTGTATGTTTAAAGACACTTTCAATATTTCAGATTATGTCAACGGTAAAAGATAAAGATATCCCTAACAGGCCGTGGAGGCCCACAGGGTTGTGAGACGTCGAGACTCCCACATTTTCTAGACAGATGGCGGCGAGGTTGTCAGCCTTACGCTCCGGTCGCCTTTTACACCCCAGACAGATTCCTGATACTCAGCTGAGTTGACACCAGGGCCATATTGCGGCTGGAAGCATTAGGTAAATAACGGTAAAGTTGTCTCTGTGCTTAACTAATTAAACACTACATCATGATGGCGTATGGGGGGATGGATGTAAAAATTTTCTTGACCTGGACACTACCTGAAGGTGAGTGGTCAGCTTCACGCCCCTGCCGCTTTAACCTTGGGGAAAGAGCCCCCGTTACCCATTGGATAGGAGGCTGGGTGGGTCCCAGAGCCGGTCCGGACGACGGGGAGAGGTAAAAATTCTTGACCCTACCCAGAATCGAATTCCGAGCCCTTGGTCGTCCAGCCCTTAGCCAGTCGCTACACCGACTACGCCATCCCGGCTCCTTGGAAGGATTAGATCAATTGAAAAAATCCAAGGACCTCATCGGGAATTGAACCCGCGACTTTCCAGCTTGTAGCATAGTGCTTCAACCAACTGCTCTACCGCGTGTCCCCTTCTGACTATACAGCATCAGGTAATAGAGTGATTAGTGAAGAATGAATTGTAAAGAACGTGAAAGGAAAGGGACTTTGTTTAATTGGAATTAGCGTACAGGAATTATTCTGGAGAGACCGGTGGAAACCATGCAAAGTCTGAGTCAGGATAGCTCGTCTCCGGACCGATAATTGAAATCGAGACTTCCAAGCAAAATGCTAACTGTTCTATTGCTACGTTCGCTGGGTA